ATCAAAAGGTAGGATGTTCTTGAATTTAAAGTTAGAAGTTCGTGATTCGGATTAAATCAAGAGTTCAAATATCGATTTGAGTAAATTCTATAAGTATGTTTCTTGATTATGACATATGCGTAAATATCTAGTAAAAATCTTGATTCATTCAATTGAAGAGAATTATATTTTTTTTAGCTAATTTTTGTTCTTATTTCAATTTTTAAGTTTTAAATATTCTCAAACTGGAAAGACTAAAATTACCCGCAAAGACGAGTTTAGTTTACGAATATTGAGTTCAAGTCGAGTATCAGGTAACAACTCAATTCAAAATAGTAGTCATAATAGAACATTTAAGAGCCATGCTAATAACTCTTATTAGCCAAAATCACACGTTTTAACTTACCTTCTCTTGCCACCAATGTACAGGTGGCAAACAGGCCTAGCCGATGAATAGGTTACAACTCCATTAAAAATATTGTCATAATAAAACATTGAGGAGCCAAAAACTCTTAATAGCCAAAGGCACAAGTCTTAACTTACCTTTCTTGCCACCAACGTAAAGGTGGCAAACGGGCCGAACAGCTCGTTGACTCGGCTCGTAAAAGCTCGGTCCATGGGCTACTCGGGCTCGTCCAAGAATGAACCGGAGCACAAGCTGAGAGGCATGGCATGGCTCGGCTTGGCTCGTCATGTGGGTAAGCGACTTGTGGACTCTTACTCTATAAATACCCTATCCATTTAACTATTTTTTCACACAACAACAATCTCTTACTCTCTTCATGCTCTTATTACATAATCTACTTTCTATACAATCGATCCTTCATTATTTCTCAACATATCACACTATACAAATTACAATACATTCTTTTCATTATATTTTATATACATTATAATTTACATTTCTACAATTATACAATTTTTACATATTCATTCATCATTTCATCTTCATTCAAGTTCTCATATTATCAATTCACAAATGGATCGAAAATCATTTGTTGAGGGTTTGTTCGGTGTTAGTGATGAATCACAAAGTCAATTTCACAATAAATTTATCGATCTCAATAACCTATCCATTATCCAAAATATTGCAAATTTGGATTGTTATGTCTAAAATTGTAATTGGCATTCTATGAACAAAAATAAAGGACTTAATTAAACATATTTAAAAGTCAAGGCTTAATGTGCAATATTTTATAGTTGGTAGGGTTCGTGTTTGTGTTTGGAAAAAAAGAGCCCGCCAAGATTATATATATATACACATACACGCCTATGAGAATTGTGAGGGCTGCTGGGGATACAGAGATAGATTCAAGTGGCGGCTGAAAGGGTTGAAGAAAACATTGTGGCTGCCTTTGAGAGCTGGAATTGAAGAGATAAAGACCATAGAAAAGGCGGCTAGGACGAGTGAAGAAAGGTAGGCTGCTGAAGTTAATTATCTAGACATAACGTGCAGCTGGGAGTCAAACTTTGGGCTGAAATTATATCATACATATAAACGAAAATTGAGGCAAAAAAGGGGGCTGGTTGCTGTTGATATATACACATAAACAAACAGACTTTGAAGTGGCTGGGAAGAGTCAAGAAAGGTGGCTGTTGGAGGAATTAAAGAGTGGAAGCTACCATGGTTAATATAGATATATGCACATGCATGCAGAGACAAAGCAAAAAAGAAAGATAATCGAAGAATTTGCCATCGCCAAATTGGATATATATATATTCACAGAAAACCAAAGCAGAAGAGGGTTGCCTAGTGCTGAGATTTATTATATATATATATACACACACACACACAAGACGAGAGGCAGTTGGGGGAGAAGTTAAACAAAGTTGTTGGAATTAATTAGATATGCATACATGAACACGAAGGAGGATTGAACTGAAAAAAATATTCTATACTTTGATATACTCATTCAATCCCACATTCTCTCGGCGTACTTACATAAAAACATCAAATCCACTTCCATCAAAAATTACAACCAATCGTTCCAGAGCATCTATTGAGACTTGAAGACCAGGGAAGGAGATCGAAGTTCCAATCATTGGAGAACGGGGAGTTCTCAGAAATTCACGGCAGATAGACGAAATTGGGAATTGGTGTAGGAGCACACAATCCAAGAGAGCTTGGAGTCGGGAGTTGGTGTAGGATCATGCATTCCAGGAAGGCTTTGGAAAACGACAATCAAGAGGTCAGAAAAAATACTGTGGGTTGAGTCTGACAGATTGTAAGAGGTATTTTCGTTTATAGTGGATTCGTATTGGCTTGGGTTTGGAGTTTTACCCACATTGGTGTTTCTCTATCATCAAACAACTGTGTTCTTTATGTTTTTGCAATTTACTTGTTTTCGGTAATTCAATGTAGGATAGTAAAGTATGTGAATTGATCTGGATATATTAATAATTGTGACTTGTTGTACTTATTAATTTAATTAGTAAAAATTCTGCATAAACACCTATTCACCTCCCTCTATGTATCATTTGGGTCAAACTACGTTATTTCATGGATACTCACGGAAGTAGTAATCCAATTGATTTGGATAATATTGATGTTCGCGAAACGGAACAAGCAGAACTAGATATTCCCAATGCAAAAGGAAAGTGAAAGGGAAAAAAAGGAGACAAAATGTTAAGATCACTTTAAATTGATTTCAACAGGTTGTACGATCGACAGAGTCGCAAAGTGTAAAGTAGTATGTAAATACTGTTAAACACGATTGACATGGCAAAATAACATCAATGCCACGCACCTCAATCGTCACTATAATAAATATGCGGCCAAATATGGGCTTGTTGGTGGATCTCAAATACAACTGTAATTTGGTAGTCTATCCATTGGTCCTGCTACTACGACACTTAGCACGTGGATGTTTTCAGAGGACAAAACTCGAACGGGAGTGGTAAAGTATGTTGTCGGTGCTGAGTACCTTCTTGCAATTGTGGACAGCTAACATTTTCGTCTCCTACGTAAAAGAATATCTTCAATTGAGCTACGTTAGGATAAGTAGAAACACTTTTGTTTCAATATAATATAATATTTGGTTAATACAATGAATCGATTGATTACTAATTTTCAAAAATATGATAGTGTTATATTTTTAACTTTGTATTTAAAGGAGGGGATTAATAAAAGAGGTTATATAGTTACAAATGCACACGACATAGACCCACTTTGATTTATACATAAAAAAAAATTATTGCTTTTACAATAATTGAGTTCCCTCACAACGTTAATAATATATTTAATGCTATTATACACATTATTAGAGAATATCTTGTGAGAGTAAAATTCTTTTTTTTTTTTTTTTAACATTTGACAATACTAATATTAATAAACCAATTGTTAAAAAGTTGTGAAGAGTACTATACGCTGATTTTGGTGGTTATTTATTTCGTGTTCATTGTGTGTGTGTGCGTGTGTGTGTGTGTGTGTGTCATGTTTTTAATTTAATTGTGTAATATGGTTTAAAATATATTAAATCCTTGTTTGAGCCTCATTTTTGTTCATAAAAATGCATTTTTGAATAGTGTATTGATGGAAAATGTGTGGTTAAAAAATAAGAAATTTTTTTAGATTTGCGTGTAATATAATTTTATTGAAAAATGTGTGGTTGAAATAATGTTAAAACATTGTTTAAAAATATATATATTTTTTCAAAGAATGGGGTTCAAACAAGAGCTAAAAATGAAATTCAAAGAATTAGGGATACACTAATATATATCACGATAACACCTAATAAAAAATAAGCATTCGAGAAGTTTTGTGCTAATTTTGGAGTGACAAATTCGAAAACATTTGTTAGTGACGTATGAGATAGATAAAACTCAACTTACTTATTATTGAAATTTATACAAAGGATGTGGACATTTAATAATTGAATTTTATAATAATAGGTATATTAAAAATGATGATGACACTATTTTGAATTAATCTGATTGGAATTTAGCTTTTAAAATTTAAAAAAATTGACAAGTTTTTATTACTCTATATATATTTTATTTGAAATATACTATCATACTAGTTGTATGGTGCTTGAATTTCCTTATATTATTGTAAGTACTTTTGGCAAATACAACAAATGACCTCGATTTTAATGAAATTATATTTTCTATGTAATTAAAATTTAAAAAATATTGGAAAGACTTGCCTATGTTATTTACTTTGACATGCGTCATGGACCCTTGATTCAATTTATGAGGTACAAATATGTAATTGATCAAATTTTAAAATCTTTAACTTTTGACATACCTATCACTTATAGAAATTTAAGACAAATTTTATGCAAAATGTGTGAACTATATGCACAACGAATTGGTGTAAATATTAGTTGGGCACCTTCTGCATCTATTCCTCCCGCTAATCTTGAAGGAGACGGTATTGAATACTAAATTTATTTGAAGGTGTTAACACTTATAAATATGATGTAGTAAGTTCTTCTGTATATCTACCACACGTAATCAAACATCGAACATAAGTCCAAATCCATTACCTGCTAAATTACTTGATTACTTTAATCATCATATGTCTAGTAATGCAGCATTTAGAAAAAAGTTCAGAAGAAATAATTGACTTCTAACAAAAATATGAACGACGATGACCAGTGGCATCTGAGATTGCAAAAATTGCAAAAACCTATTAACGCCTCCGATTAGTATTGTAACTTCAGAGTCTTGCTTTTAGTGCATGTAAGAGGATTCGCCCGAAGTTAAAAATTGATTGAAAGAAGATACTTTAAAAGCATTAATGTGCATGAAGAATTAACAAGACGTTCATTTCCGACTATAAGATAAGTATACTGAAATTGCATATCATCATGTAAATGACATTTAATTTAATCATATTAATAAGTTTTGTTATTTATAATAATATATTTAATTTTTTTGAAAATAGCTTATTCAAAATTTAAGTAACCCGTCCCAAGCTCGGATATAGGAGGAGTGTTTTATCTTTACAAAATAAATAAATAATAATAATAAAAATTGGTGGCTCCCCAGCTCGATCCATTGCCATCTCTGCACCAATGTAACTAGCAAGTTCCATCAAATAAATAGATAGATGCATTCTGGTGACCCAGTGGCCTGTTCAAAAAGCAAATTCGAAAGATAATTTGGACAGAAATTACAATTACAGTAAGCCAACTGAAAAGAAATGGAACACTCACTACCGAAACCCAGGCTAGATCTCGAAAACTCCATTATTGGCGTTTCACTTAAACCTTGCTCCCGCCTTCAGAAGCACCATTTGATGAAGACTTGTCGAACCAAGCATTGATTCTAGCTAGCAAGCTTGAGTATCTTCAGAAAGCCCGGGTATTCCAAACCACGAAAGAACCCCTGTTCTGAAGTTCACACGGTCGAAAACCGGTCATGGCCTTTCCCATTAATGCCATAGCAGCAACGCTTGGAAACCTCTTTTCATGGAGATTTTCAAGTGCTTGTGGCTCACAAATCCCCACGGATTTAGACTTCTTTTGGGTAATTGTTGATCCATTACATATCCACCTTTTTATCCAAGCATGAGAAAGTAATGAATCTTCATCGATTTTTATGGGGTCCACATTAGTGAAATTGCCTTCACCCGATATGTCTCCAGTCTTATCCGACATGATCAATTCTTTACCACAGCAATTACCTGCTGTTGGGTCCAAGCTAGTCATGCCGTCTTTACTAAATTTTCTGAAGAACCTGCTCATTTTTTCATGAGATGGGTTTTCACCCAAGTCTGAGATCTTTGTGCCATGAGCTGGAGGATTTGAAGTGCTCAATTTGAGACGCTTAACCCATCTGTAGCTTGGATCAATTTTTAGTGCACCGTCTGGAATGGCATTAGACTTCAGATTACTAGGGTGTGTAGCATGGGCCACCAGCACATCCATGTCCAAACTTTGAGTCCTTGAGGAGCTAGGCCTCGCCTTATCTGTTGAGTTTGCAGCAGCCGGCGCCAAGGCAGGAAGCTCCAAGTTCCTATTAGGTAGCATGTTTGACCAGCAACATCCAACTTCCGAGGAAGCAATATGAATCTGCGATGGTAATTCCGAGTCCGTTCTGATAACCTGCAACATATTGAGACTGATGTAAGGCTGGCTCACATACAATTGCATTTTCAAGTATAGTTTCATACATAGACGTGAACAGTATTTGCCTCAAAAAAACTCAAGGTGAAGGCTGCTGAACAGCATCCAGAAATACGGTTTTGCAAAAACCGTGAATTAGAAATAGAAGTTAAACAAAATAGTTGAGATACATGCTCAGCCAATTGATTTTCTAGTTCTGGATTGACCTTCAGTCATTTCACGAACAACTTATGAAATGCACTGCTAAACAGTTGGACTCCAGGAATAACGAGATCAAACATTACAAGCTTTCAAGTTCTTCATAACATGCAGAGTTCCAAATGGGTTGGATATCTTTCCAAAACTAATGGACTTATCATCAATTATCTTGTCAATAAACTGAAAGCAAGACAATTATTTGATATAATCACACAGCTCCCCAAGTACTTAACATTTGAACTATCTGCTGGACATAACATTTTCCTGCCTAAAACTTGATATTAGGCAAAGAATATTATATCAAAACACTATTCACCTCGAATTTCCAGATTTTCTTACTGAGAGATTATTCTGATGCATGCCATGCTAGATATTTGATAATCGAAGAAAAATGCAGATGGAGATCTCAAATACAGATAAGATACATGATTAAGAAGAATAAAAGACATAGCCAAAGTACCTTATTTGACAGGGTGGAATTTGCAGCTGCACCAATAAAAAATATAAACATTTTAATAGAAATTTAAAATTTGTGTATTTCAAAATAAACAAGCCTAAAAAAGTTCGAAATAAATTATGAATGTTAATTTCACACTACAGCATGGCAATTTAACTTTTGACGAAAAATATCAAACTTCAAAATAGTCAATCATCTATACACTAGATATTATATAAAAATTCAAAACTAATCAGCAGAAATTCCTGGTGAGAATTAATATTTAATATGTACCAGAAAACTGGTTCTTCTCCTTGAAAGAATCCACATCCATGGCATCAGTCTCAGTGGATGATTCATTCTTAACAATAACTTTAGAAGCCTTAACGCCTTTAACATTTTCTTTCCCTTCACTATCTGTTGAACTAACTAGAGCTTGAAGCTTTACTCCTTGCTCACCTTGACCATAATATGGTGGTGACAGGTTATGAAAATCCCTGGATTTATTTCCGTTGAATACAGTAACCACTCTTCTGTCTCTGAGAAAATCATTTTCTTTTGACGAATTGACATCAGTCCTTTTTGTGATTAACAGACTGTGAGTTGTCTGAGAAAACCTGGAACAACCTCCAGGTTCTCCTTCTACAGAATCCACAGTAGTGTATATTCTCATTGTCTCGGCATCATCCACACAATTTGGCAACTTTTCTAGAGAATAACAATCAGTGTGTGATTTCTTCAATTCAGTTTTCTCCAAAGCACTGGACTGAGTTGGAAGTGGTTTCATACCAGATAACTTTTGCATCTTCAGGAACGGCTCTCTACCAAATGCTGACAAGTGACCATCACTCATGGAGGGAGCATCAAGTGACGTGGGTGTATCACTCTCACTGAAATGAGCATTTCTGGAATTTCCTGATTGTGAGTTGCTGTCTATTTGTCTCCCATAAACTGAAAATGCTGACTTCCTGAGAATATTATGATGTTCACGCTCTAGAGTTCTCAGGCTAGCATTAGCCAATTGATTGTAAGAAACTATAGCAGATCTATCAATGAATGAAGAAATATCTGCTTTTCCTTTGTTAAACTCATATTTTCTGTTATCAAATCCATATGGCACTATATGTGATGTTGATCGAACAAAATACTCATGGGAAGGCTTTGATACTGCAAAGCTACCAAAAGAAGGCCCTAATGCTTCATCAGCTCCTTGGTAATGCTTTGCTTTGGAACTACACCCACTATACTTAAAAGGACTAGTCGTTGGGATGTATTGACAGCCAAACCCCTCATTTCTCGAGTTCCTTGAGCTCGTGCCTGTGTTGTCATTCATGGTCTCAAGAGTTAGAGTTTCAGTTTCTCTAAGTCTTCTCACAGACCTAGAAGCCTCTAATCCAATCGTTGGATGATATAGCATAGTAACGCAATCAATTTCTTTGTTTCCAGAAGCATTAGATTTATGATTACGAGTTTCTGCTGTTACATTATAGCTTGTCCGTGTCCAATGAGACATCCAAACAGATTGCATAGATCGTCTACTCCTCTCATTGGTATCATTAAATGATTGGGCAATGTGATCCGACATGATGAGTTAAGCTACAAGTTACAAGACAGCCTTCAGAACTTCTCAGAGGTTCATGCAATTTGACCAGATGAAGAAAACTGTGGATACAGATTTAGGTAACAGTGGCAAGCAGAATATTTGTCCTCAGAAATCTAACAGATTATGCATCATCAAGTGTGTAAAATTTTGTCAAGAAATTACGACTAAATGAGGGTTCAGTGGTGGCTGTCCAAAACCAAGATGAACTGTGCTTAGCTTCTATGCTTCAGGCTTCAAAGGAACTGGAAAAGACTGAATCTAAAAAAGGACAAATATGGTGGCTTGGTTAGCCAAAAAGTTGCAGTAACTTGACATAGACTGTGATAATTAAAAGATGCATACCATGTTGTAATGGCTCATAATGCCCAAATCGAGTCAATGACAAGACATTCAGACGAACCTAAATAACTCTTAATTTCTTTGAGTTCAAACTACTTACAGGAGAATTAAAAAATTGAGCCAACTACAAGAAGTAGAGGTAGTTAAGCTTTATTCTCAAATCCCAATAAAATCGACGTTAATTACACGAATCATTGTTTGTTGACATCATATATTTTGCAACTGCCTCACTCCATCTTAATTTTCATCTTTCTTTCACTCTTCTAACCTAATTTTTAAGGTTGTGTCACTATTGTGAACCTGAGTTTCTTCATTTCTATCTAACATATACTAATAACCATTTAAGTCGTATTTCTTTAATTTATCCTCAGGTGGAGACCCCTCCACTTTTTACCAGAGATCCTTATTTCTCACTTTATTCATTCTAGTTTTATTTTATATTCATATTAAGATTCTCATTTGGGTTAAATTCATCAATACTAGATACCAAGAAATATAGCTGGCTTAATAAATTTTCATGTAGAACTTATCTTTAATTTAGCGAGTATACTCTTATCACATAAACTCTTCAATCAATTCTCTATTTCATCCATATACTTTGATTCTGTACATTGTATCCTCTTCATCATCTTCAAGTCATCCTTCCTTCTTAAACGGTCAAAACTTACATACCTAAGCCAGTCGCTCAATGAGATAGATCCTCCATATATTTTCCTACCATCCATCATCACACTCCTAAGGCATTTAATTACCTGTTTTCTCTAAATCAATAAGATTAAATAATAATCCCTTTTTTTACTTTGCCCTTCCATCATTGTATGAGATATGTAAATGACTTCCCCGGCACATCTAACTGGCATAAAACCAAATGCAACTTGAGACCTTTAATACCTCAATTTGTGTCTAATATTTTCATAGTATGGCATTGCAGTCCATCGATCCAGAAAAGATGAAGTATTAAATTCTTAGACAAACAAAACTTAGTGAAAGAACTGCTATAAATAACAAAGAAAAATATATATAGTTCATAAAAATTGTGAATTCAAGTTTCGGTTACCAAATTTTTCCAACAACAGAGCTTTTCGTGACAAAAGTCTGTTTTATATCCCTTGGAATTTCTCAATCCTAACACCCAAACACAGTCACATTGAAAAAGGGGGAACGAAATACAGTTCCAGTAAAAACCTCAAAATCCTTATTTTTCGATTAAATTCATTTTCACCTCAAATATCTCTCAATACGTCTTCGATATTTGACATTAGAGGCAATTCGGCTGGTTTAAAACTTTCTTAATTTAGGCCCCGTTTGGTAGGAATTTTTTGCCCAAAAAAATTGATTTTTTAACCGTTATTTTATTATTCAAAAGTAATTTTTGACTTCTTCTCTTACACGTGGACCCACTTTTCTTCTGACGGTCAAAAATTCAATTTTCAAAATCCCTACCAAACGGCCCTTAATTAGCAAGCTATAATTCAACAACTGAAGTGCAAGAATACACTGCAAAGTAAAAAATAAAGAAATAAATATTGCAAACACATCCAACATCAACCAATCTATAACTAACGATTTATATTTCTAACTTCTCCGTTAAAGATATAGTAATGACAATTGAAGATAAACCTGTACCAGTAACAAATTTACTCCGCAAACACGACAGAAGACGAAGATCCAGAAGCAAAACTAAACAATTATCCTCGAATGATTTTCGCGGTCAGTGCACAGAGATCGAACTTCTTCAAAGTCTTTTCATTGGATTGGAGAGGACTAAGAACAAAATATTAAATTTATTATTACATCTCAAAGGCGATCTGTGGCCACCGCTGGCTCTCAACAATAAACACACATTTTGCGTATGTGGAAAACGATACTTGTGTATATATCTATCTATGTTGTGTCCCTGTACACAGTATAGAGTAGAGAAGACTCAAGGAAAAAGATAGAAAGAGAATGGAGGCTGAAGGCAAAGCTTCCTAGCCGAAGAAGCCGTGGCTCTTCAACATTTTAAGTTGACGGCCCCATATTATATGTGCATTGTACACTTTTGTTTACATTAAGTTACATGACAAATTGTGATTTAACAATTGGATAATGCTGGTGTACATACAGTCTTACACTCCCCTCACATCGTGGGAACCCACGAATATTTAATTATATGTGGACTCCTCTCTATGTGAAGAGGGTGTAAGTATGTGTGTTCATTATTGTGTACACATCCATTCAATTTTTGACAATGTGCAAAGGTATGTACAAATGATAAATTCCAATTTTTTAATTGGTACTGTGTACCAAACATATTGATATTGTACGCCTTTTTGATAGGTGATTATAAAGCGCTAAGCAAAATCAAACTCATGTTTGATAATCATTATTTTTAAACTCTTTTTTCTATATACTTAGACCTTGTTGGAGATACATTATTTAACAAGAATGCATTTTTGAGTAGTGTATTGTTAGGAAATGTGTTGTTAAAAAATAAGGAAAAATTATGTCTAAATTCATCAAATGGAGGCATAATTTTTAATAGTGAGTGGACAGAAAAAAGTTGACTTTATCTCTCGTTTGACATCTTTTATTGTAATTTAATTTATTTTTCATACTCATTTTCAATTATAAATTCACATTATAAAATATTCTAAAAGTAAATTCAATTTTTCTACATTTTAATCACTCATTTTTCAAAAAAAAAAAAAAAACTATTCAAAACAATATTTTTTAAATTATAAGGATGTCAAACAACGGGATTAGTAATATTTAGAGATGGCAATGGGGCGGGTTCGGGGTCGGACAACTTTTTGTCACATTTAATTTTTAATTTTTTATATTTTTTTTATATTTTCAAAATTTCGAGTTATGTCATTATTAGAGAATAAGATACAAATTAAAAATAAATTTTTAATGGGTGAATTATTTAGAAGTAAAATTATTTTTGATCTTTTTTTTTTTGCCTTCACAAGCGTGGCATCCTCGCCCCACGTTCAGAAAAGACAAAAAAATTTCAGAATAAAAAACATTGTCTAGAATTTCTCTTAGATTCGAACTCATAGCTGATGGCACTCAAAACAAGTACATGTTCAAGCATCATTAACCAACTCCTTATCAATCTCAATTCATTCCCGCCCAACCCTCTCTGTCGGGACGAGGCGAGACAGGACGATTTTTTTTGCCATCACTACTAAAATTTTATTTAATGGACTTTTCGAGGACAAATATCTGAGGCTAAAAGGGGAAATATCTTCGGCCGATTCAAATGTGTTAGCAAAAATTACGCCGTTTCGGACGAATTGGCAGAATTAACTGATGGCTCGCACCGGCTGAAAGTTGAGCCGATCAAGAAAAGGATAAGAAGTTGCTTAATGGACAATGACGATTAAAAAAATGAGTCAATTAGGTACGTTAAAGAGATTGTTTGGCTAATTATGTTGCCACGAACCCATTTGCTCAACCAGAGATGTGTACATTGGCTCCTTTTCATCCACGTCATTTGTATGTTCAAATTCTCTTCATTAATTTCAATTTATGACAAGATTGAAGGTAGGGCTCGTTTGGTAAGGTGTTTATTTTGATTTTATTTTTTGCAGAAGATTTTTTTTTTTCTTCAAAAAGTTATCTTAATCAATTTTATTTTTTTTTTCAAAAACTTTTCTACTCAAATAAAATATTTCCTAAAAATTATTTAAATGTGTTTAAAAGCACTCTTAAATTTAGGGGTGGGCGCGGGTCGGTTCGGTTCGGTTCTCTTTAGAACCGAACCGAACCGAACCAAACTTTTCGGGTATCTAGTAAATGGAACCGTCGGGTCCAAATATAATTATGGAACCGTTCGGGTTCGGTTCCATTCGGTTCGGTTCGGTTCGGATAGGTTCCGTTCCGTTCGGTTCTGTACTATAATTAAATTTTTTAACATTTATAACAACGTTATATAAATACGACTAATGATACATTCAATAGTTTTGGAATGTCAGAGATTAGTAAACTACCTTATTCAAATGATCGCTACGATCAAAGCTTCAGTCCGGGAAAGTCACGGCTTCGATCGGAGGTCAGAGTGTCGACCGACGATTGTATAAGTTTTGGAATATTAGATAGGCTGCGAGAGTGAGTGCGAGAGTCGAGACAACGTTATGCACTTTATTGTAGGTGTTTAGGGTTATTTAGTGGATTTGATCTTGTTTGGCTAAAAAATGAAACAATAAAATGGGTAATTGGGCCAAAAATTAAAAATTAGAAATGAAACAAATTATTGGACCAAAAATTTGGATTTAGAAATGATTAATTTGTTAATTTGTTTAGAAAAAATTAAAATTAAAATAATTTGATTTACTCAATATAAAAAAAAATTAAAAAGATTCGGTTCTTCGGTTCTTCGGTTCTTGGTCTAGAACCGAGAACCGAACCGTACCCGTCGGTTCTCAATTCAGATACCCGTTCGGGTATTTAATTTGACAAGAACCGTCGGGTTCGGTTCGGTCAGTTCGGTTCGGGAGATTTGCCCAGCCCTACTTAAATTTTTCAAAAGTTAAATAAGTTCTAAGCACCTATTTGACAACCTTTCTGAAGAGTTTTTCGAAATTTTGAACAGTGAGTTTTTGAAGAATTTGTGGTGAAAAAGTAAGAAAAGTTTTAAATTTATATGTAAAATATCTTATTATTTGAATGTGTGATTGAAAATGAGTATGTCAAAAAAAAAAGTTTCAAATAGGGGTTAGAAAGTTTAGATGATCCTAATTGGATAATTATGCATTATTTTTATTTAATAAAATATTAAACTTGTATATAAAACCTCAACTCGCATGTAGTTAAATATAATTTTCAAATTTATATATCTATTGGAAAAAAATAACTTTTGAGTACGATTACATGACCTCGATTTGGGATTGCAAAAGTAGATTTCCATTCACAAATAGAAATCTTTTTCATAATAAAACTAGTTAAGTCAAAGATGTGAGTAGAGAAATTTATCTACCACTCTTACAGCACACCACACAAGATACACATGCTTATTTTCGAGAAAAGTAGCTTCGATGAGTTCCTTGTTAGGTATCGCGTGATAAACTTTTAATAAAAGTTCGATAAATTTTGATAAAAGTTGATTAAAAATTGTGAATTTAAATATATCATGAAATTTATCTATCAATCTTATTGCACACCACACAAGATGCACATGCTTATTTTCGAGAAAAGTAGTTTCGATGAGTTTCTTGTCAGGTATCGTGTGTTAAGCTTTTAATAAATGTTCAATAAATCTTGATAAAAATTAATTAAAAATTGTGAATTTAAATATGTTATCTAAACTTAAATTTGACCAATTGAAAAGTTAATAATATTTCCGTAAAGTTTTTATTAGACAAGCATTGAATGAAAGTGAAAAAATAAAATAAAAAAATGAATCAACCTTATCTGGGAGATGCAAAACTTGCCTTTTTTTTAAGCGATATAAGCTAAAATTGCATAGATACAACTTGTAGAGCTTGTAAAAGAAGAAAAGAAATCATTTTCGTCACGACTTAAAAGCTTCTCTTCATCCACGTCATTTGTAAGTTCAAATTCTCTTCATTAATTTCAATTTACGACTAAGATTGAAGGTGGGTCTTGTTTGGCAAGATTTGTATTTAGATTTTATTTTTTGTAGAGAATTTTTTAAAAAATTTATCTTAATCATTTTTATTTTTATTTTTATTTTTGTAAAAGCTTTTTTACTCAAATAAAATAGTTCCTAAATATTATTTAAACGTGTTTAAAAGCAATCTTAAAGTTTTTGAAAGTTAAATGAGTTCTAAGCACCTGTTTGACAACCCTTCTGAAGAGTTTTCGGAATTTTGAATAGTGAGTTTTTGAAGGATTTGTGGTTAAAAAGTAAGAACAAGTTTTGAATTTATGTATAAAATATCTTACTATTTGAATGTGTGATTAAAAATGAGTATGAAAAAAAGAGTTTTGTGTGTGTGTGTGTGTGATTGGAAGGTTTAGATTGATCCTAATTGGACAATTATGAATTATTTTTATTTAATAAAATATTAAACTCGTAGATAAATTCTCAAATCACATGTAATTAAATATAATTTTCAAATTTAATTAACATTTAAAAAAAAACTTTTGAGTACGATTACATGACCTCGATTTGGGATTTCAAAAGTAGATTCCCATTCACAGATGGAAATTTTCTTCATAATAAAACTAGTTAAGTCAAAGACGTGAGTAGAGAAATTTATTTACGAATCTTACAGCACAACAAACAAGATGCACATGCTTATTTTCGAGAAAAGTAGTTTCAATGAGTTTCTTGTTAGGTGTCAAGCGATAAACTTTTTATATAAAAGTTCAATAAATTTTGATAAAAGTTGATAAAAAATTGTGAATTTAAATATATTATCTAAACTTAAATTTGACCAATTGAAAAGTTAATAAAATTTTTGTAAAGTTTTCATCAGACAAGCATCGAATGAAAGTGAAAATAAATGAATCAACCTCATTTGGGAGATGCAAAAATTGCTTTAGGTTGTAGAGCTTGTATAAGAAAAAAGAAATCATTTTCATCAGGGGCGGAACCAGGATTTTAGTTTAGTGTGGGCAAAATTTTTTCAATGCCGAAGTTCGAGGTTTTGGTCATGGAGTTAATGATGATAAAAAAAAAATAAAACAATATTACGACAAATATTACGACTAAAAAATCACAAATATTGGAAGCAACTATCAAAATCCAGTGCAATTCACAATTTCACATAATCAATTCATAGTCCAATTCACAATTTCATATAATCAATTCATAGTCCAATTCACAATTTCACAGGACAACAATATATTCTATTTTCATTCTAGTGATAGAGTAAGCAACTTACAATCGCAGAGGGCTAGAGGCAACAATGAACTGGAAGTTTGTCTTACTCTCACTGTCTGGTAACAAAATACCAAAATCAATTGAAGAGCAACATGCAGGAAGTACCACTTTGAGCAGTTGAAGAATAAAGTGCCGATTTCATATGTTAAAAAAAAAATTCAAATATTATTACAATTTACACAAATTAAAATAACAAAAAATAATGGAAAAAGCTTCAAAATCAGGGTCGATGGAATTTGGAAATAGAGGCTTCACCTTCTTCTTTTGCTGGCTGTCGCCGATTGCTGGAGCCCGAAAGAATCGTCGATTGGCAGTTGCCTCGAAGGTTAAGGAGCGGCAAAGACGGAGCTGCGGCCCTATGATGCGGAGGTTACGGTCTATGGACGGTCCGGAGCAATGCGTTGCCACTTGCCTGCAATAGAGGTCGGACGACGGAGGTTACGGAAAGATTGAGGAGGAGGTTGAGTGGCCAGTCAGAGATAGGCACCGCGGCTGATGGACTGAGATGAGAGGCAGCAAAGTGCCAACGGACAACGGCTGAATGAAATATGAATCGAAGCAATTGATTCAATTGAGGGGAATGGGTTATGAATCAGTAAATGGGTCATGTGATGTTGATTGGGCTAATGGGTTATTGGGCTAGTGGGCTTCTCTAGGCTGGGAAAGGGATTAAACTAAAAAAAAATAAATGCCCGCACTAGATTTCATTGGGCTCCGCCCCTGATTTTCATCACGACTTAAAAGCTTCTTTCACAATGAGACTCCATCTACATCAATTATGGACCTGATAACTAAAAAATGCTTTGAAATGGATCGACTACTTTATTTCTGATGGTAAAACTATTTGCTCATACTCAATTAGCAACTTTACGTAACTTGATTCCTCGACTCATTTCAACTGCAAATAAAAATTTTAAAACTACAGAGTGATTGTATCAGAAAACAAAAGTGAGAAACTCGAGGAAAAACAAAATACAAATTTTGATGCATGGCACCTATCCTACTCTAATGAGGCTGGAATTGGGTAAATTAATTGAATAGACAAGTATGAGGTCAATCGAATTCAAAGCTTTAATTACCTAATCGAGATAAACTTGAAGCAATTAATGAATTTGGTAAAATTCAAAATTTTCCTCAATCATTTAGGGTCCGTTTGATTGTAAAAGATGGAATTGAATTACATACAAAATAAATTCCAGGAAATTGAATTGCTTAGAATTGTTTTCCTGATAATTATAAATTATTGTGTTTGATTAATATAATTTTTCACGTGGAAAATGTTGAAATAAAAGTATTTTTGAGTGTTCATTTGATTTTGTTTTATATGAAAATTGTCAATTAAAGAGATAGATTTTACTGGTATTAGGGATTAAATTTGTTTCCATAGCCAACACAAAAAAAAAAAAAAAAAAAAAAAAAAAATTTCAAGAAAATCATCTATTTTTCAATATTCGTTTTACTTTGTTTTACATGAAAATTGTCATTTAAAGAGAAATATTTTTTTTTTACAATAATTTTTAGAATTTCTTTCCATTGCCAACATTCAAAAAAAAAAAAATTACTAAAAAAAAATGCTACAGTAGGAAGGAAAACCAATTAATGTGCAAACATCAAAACAACCAAGAATTCGAATTCCATGGAAAAAAAATGTATCAAACACCTAAAGTTTGAAAATCCAATTCCAATTCCATCTCCACCCTATCAAACACACCCTTAGTTCAATGAATTACCTTTTTTTTTTTTTTTTCGGCCTGAGACAACTGAGGAGCAATGTAATAAATTTTATTAAGTTTATTGGAACAAAGTGTATTGGAACAATATTAATTTATTGAATTGTTATAATTTTTCCCTCATCGTGAAGATATAAAACATTCAAGCCATACGAGAATTAAGTTTATTGAAATCAAAAATTATCTTGATCAACTTTAGAAGGGAATATGGCTTTGGATGTAAAATTTTGAGGAGTGGGTAGACAAGTCTTTCATATATCTTTCAAGCGATTATTTGATGAAAGGTTGTGTAAATAGACAATACTTACCTTAAAAAATGGGTCATATATAGGGGTGTCAACAAGTTGGGCTGGCTTTGATTGACCTTTTTGAAGACAGGCTTTTTTGGTCCGAGTTGAGCTGAGCAAAAGGCCAGCCAAAAAATGGAGGAGCTCGGGCCTTACCGAGTCAAGCTGGGTTGAACTGAGTCTGCTTGATTTTTTTCCTCTCTTATGTTGCCTTTGTTTAACGGCAGTGGCCTGGCACGCTGCCTGAGCAGCTTAATTTTTTATTTATTTATTTTGTGCAGGCCCGGCACCCTAGGGATTGACATCCTTAATCACATATCTTTCAAGTGATTATTTGATGGAAAATCAAATAATATCCGTCTCTCTGTCCGTGTAACTACCTAAAAAGACTGTTGAGAACCTAAATGCAACAAAAAACATTAATGCAACCCAAGTGTGACAAATAATAATGTTTGGGGGCTCGGGTGAAAATTTGCCAAATTTTATTTATGCTATTAAAATGTTAGGGCAAAATTGCATTGCTAGTATCTAATTTATCATTTCAATAGTACGTTGGCTCCTAATATTTTGCTCTTATTGTACATTGAATCCCAATTGTAGAAATCGTCCAAGTTTTCACTAAATTATCACGTGGCCATCACAAAAATTTATTTCACTTCCAAATTTTTAGATACTAATCTATAGGGATAATTGCAATTGAGGCTCCAAATTTTCAAACATTTGTAGACTTTTTCCAAACCTTTTAATCGTTGTAGTTGTGGCTCCTAACCTTTTGAAACGTTGCCAACAGAAGCCCCAATGGATGGAGTCCATCCAAGTGTATATTAGTTGATTAAGAAATTTGACTTTGACCATGTTTTGACAAATTTTAAAAGGGTAAATTAGTAATTTTACATTTACCAATCACGTTAAATAATTAAAATTGAAAAAAATAAACAATTCTTCTTCTTCCCTTCCCCACTCTCACATCCACCCCATCTCACCCCACCACCACCAAACTCACAACCATCGCCACTTCTACCATTATCTTCTTTCCCAACCCTTCTTCATTTTTTACCATGTTCTTCCGCCAAATCTAACCAAATGGAGAATCAATTCGATTAAACTATTGCAATTCACAAAATCCACAGATCAGAAAGTCCAATTTAACTGTATTCGTTGACTGTTGTCCATTGCATTTCCTTCACTTGAGCTTCAACAATGGCAGCTATAAATCTCCTCTCTCAAACCCCAACAATTCATAATCTCTGAAAACTACATTAAATCAATTTTTTGGGCATATCTTGGAGGTCTTGCTTAGGACAAACAAAAATTGAGAAAATTCAGTTCAATCCCCAATAACAAGCATATTCTAGATCCAAAGTCCAAATGATGCTTCAATTACTAGGAGTATGAAACTCATGATGGGTTTAGTCCACCACAAAATTGCAGCCATTGTTTGCTATCCACCTCTTTTGTATATGGACGAAAATACAAGATGGATTCCTATAATACTAGTGAGATGGACAAGCTGAGAGAATTGTTTGATGAAGGATTAGGTGCATTGATTTTGGTAAAAAAAAAATTAGTTTCTTTGGCCAGGATTGTATTTTTTGTTGTAGTATAATCGAAATTCTTGGGATTTTAGGAGTAGTAATTGAATTAGTCTTGAAGAGATCATAATTATGGACTGGGAGAAAATACGTCGCAATTTCCCTCCCTGAATGCTCGAGTGTTTAAAGCAGAACAATTGTCGCTCGCTTCCCATCGGCTTGTCACTTGAACGATAGCAAGGTCACTCACTATTGCTCGACGTAGCTCGAGTGACAAGATTATCTGGGCAGTTCTGAATTTTTTGTGTTTTAACGCATTTTGGGATTTCTATTGGTCTACAACTAGGTTTTTGGGTGTCTATATAATACAAAAGGTAGTCTATTGTACTTAAAAATGGAGTTTTCATGAGTTTTGAGAGAAAAACCTTGAGAAAATAAATCTACAACATCTTGTGAGTTTAGATTTAATTGAGTGCATTGAGTCTTGAGAGCTTAGATTCAATTGAGAGTATTGAGTCTTGATATTGTAAATACATTCTTATTGATTATACTGAATTTTCTCTTCATCTGCCTGTGGTTTTCTCGAATTGAGTTTCCATGTAAATCTCCATGTTATTTATCTTTCTGCTTTATTTCATTATTTTCATATCATGCGATCCGTATTCATAACAATTGGTATTAAAGCGTAAGGTTGATTTCTGTATGGAAACAATGAAATATGATATTCCGATGTTGGATCGAAGCACAATGTTTAATTTATGGCAAGCAAAGATGAGAGCTGCTCTTGCGCAGATGGATTTAGAGTAAGCCTTGCTTGACTTTGATAAGATACCTTCTACCTGGACGTAATAAGAGAAGCAGCATAGGGATCGGAAAGCCTTTGCTTAGATTTATCTTCACATTTCAAATCAAAATCTTCAGGATGTTTTAAATGAGAGAAGTACCGTTGCGTTGTGGCTGAAGTTAGAGCAGCATTGCATGATAAAGAGCTTGACCAACAAATTTTACTTGAAATAGCGCTTGTATTCTCATAGGATGTCTGAAGGTGGGTCATTGAATGATCACTTAACCTTGTTCAAAGAAATTGTGGCTGATTTGAAAACTTTGGAGGTTAAGTAAGATGAGGAGGACTTGGTATTGATGTTGTTGTGTTCATTGCCGCCATTATATATAACTGTTAGAGATACAATTATATATAATTTTGATACTCTCATGATGGAGGAGGTCTATGATGCCTTACTGTCTAAGGAGAAGATGAGGCATCTTGCTGAAGGATCTGAGAGTCAGGCTGAGGGCCTAGTTGTTCGTGGGAGAAGTCAAGATAGGAAAGTTAGCAAAAATATGATGGACAGGTCGAAGTCTTGGCATATTGAGAAGACATGTCATTATTGTAAGAATAAGGGGCACATTAGAGCTGACTGTTACGCCTTGAAAAATTGAAACAAAGCGACGACTGCCAATAATAAGGAAAAGCGCTCTGTTGATTCAGCGGGGGCTGACATTGTGGAAAGGAGCAAAGCGAATGAGAGCTTATTGTGATCTTTGACATGGGATCCAAACCATGTGAGGAATGGGTTCTGAATTTGGCATATATGTGTCCAAATAAGGACTGGATGATTATATATGAAGGAGTTTCGAGAGGTGCAGTGATTATGGATAACAATGTGTTTTGCAAATCGTCGAAGTTGGTACTATAAGGATTGATATGTTCGATGGGATTGTCAGAACACTTACAGATGTCAGACATGTTCCAGAACTAAAGTGAAATCTTATATCTTTGAGTTTTCTTGACTTAAACAGCTATAAGTACATTGGTGAAGGTTGAATTTTGAAGGTGAGCTTAGGTGCTCTTGTTGTAATGAAGAGACATAAGAATTCTACACAGCTGTCCGTTTTGAAAGGTTCCAATGTTACAAGAGATGCAATAGTTTCTACTTTTTCTTTAACTAAGGATGAAGTCACATAATTTTGGCACTGCGGCTTAGGCATATGAGTGAAAATGAA